TGGAATTCATAGGCCACTGGATCAGGTTTCAATGGCTTAATAATCTACGAGCTTGACTTGTAACCAGAAGGCCCTGCATTCAAACCCGGGTTGGTGCGTACTGGTGAATAGTCCCAAGCTGGGACGAAACAGCTGTCCAGTACTCCAATTTTTTCCAGTAGTCTGCTAACCGATGTCGTAGATAGGTAAATATATATTTATAAGTAATATTAGTCAGTTCATGATGAAATTCTGTAACTAACATAACACTGAAGCACCTGTTACATTATCACAGTCGTCAGTGGATGAAAAAAAACGACAGAAATGCAAGCAGGATATCGACAGTTTTGCGAATAACGTCTTACTTCGTATTTTTTATTAAACTTTTACCAATGGTGTGGTAGTATTTGACTGATAGCCCTAAATATTCTAAAGCAGGATAACTGATATTTTTATTTTATAAACAGGACTGAAGTGGGAAGCCATATTCTGTGAAAGTCTGGAAAGAAACTGACGTTCTAAATATTGATTCTTCCTATTCGCAAAATGGCAAGGACAGTTTATCATTTCCTCTTAGTTTGAATTATCTAATTAGTCACCTTCAACCGTAACGTGACTTTAAAAAACTTATGTAATGGTGTGAGGTTCGATTTCTATTGGTTTAATTTTTTGGCATATTATGTCATATGTACAACAAAAGTTGCATCACTTTATTTTAGCTTATTTCACTTCATTCCCTATGATGGTGCTTATGTACGGGGAAACGTTATGAGATTGCTAGAAATTAAAGGTTTATACATCATTAGCTCATGAGTGGTACATGCATTAGAACTGCACTGTTATTTACTCAATTGGCATGGGATTATGTATTTATTCTGATGGGGGAAAACTTTATAATTATAACCTATTCGTCGATAATACCTTTTTTAGTGAATGAATACTTTATATGCCTAAAATGAAAACACTGTGTACTGAATTTAAAGCTATTCGTTCTCAAAAAGAGAACTGGACTCCTAATCTTAGAAATAGGATCTGCAGCTGAAATAATGCCTTTGTTGCTGAAATAAATCTGGAAACGTTGCCACTATGCCCTGGATTAAATCTTTTGTTCTGAAAGAATGCCAGTCAGTGCTGAGTTCGGGCTGAGAGAGTTAAAACAACGCAGATTAGCAAACCCATTAGGTTCTTTGCTTCTTCCGAAAATGTCTAGATAAAGCACAAGTTGCTGAATTAGTACCAGTCATGTTGAAAACCAGCATTGAGTTCTAGCGTGTGCGCATAATCAAACCACTTCAGAATTTACTCATTACAGAATGCTAGAGTTTTAGATTTAACTGAGCATTATAGTAACTTTGGGATGATAGTGAGTGCGAAATAGTCTTTTCGTATGATTAAATTGTTGGTGGGCTAGTATGTTTCACCTGCGCATCTGCACTACAGATATATTTGTGTATTACTGGCATTGAAAAATTATGGGATGGTTTCAGTATTTTAAGACGTAGAAAGACCGTCTTTTCTACATATCTAATGTTCTCTATTTCAGTCGTTCAGTCCTGTATTCCAATATCCAATATCGTTTTTACGAGCTAGTATAAACCACTTTGATTTCTTTGTGCTCGCTTCTTGATTGTGATGTAAAGGTTCTGGCCTTCGGTGAACTTCTGCGTAGTTCGTCCCGCCACTCAAATGTCTTATTTGTGGTCAACTCCAGAAGGAGAGGTGCTGGGATTAATTATATGTTGTTTGTAGTATAAGGTGTGAATGGAGTTGACACTTTCACCAGTTAGTCGTCCGCTTTTGTCGACACAAGAAAAGAGATAATAATAATAGTAACAGATATAGTTAGTGTAGGTTATGCAGACTAAAAGACAGAAAAGGAAATAAAGAAAACCTAAAACAGACAGTTAATTAAATTTGAAGTTGATATATATACGATATGAATAATAATAATGGTTATTATAATATTAAGTGTAAGTGTAGTAGTCAGGAGAGCAGGGCGAGAGAAAATGTGGAGAAGTGAAACGACGAATTTAGATAGGCCATTTGGATGCAGTCTTTGTGTCACTGCAAGATTGTCCAGCCTTCGCTTAAAGCTATCCACGGACGGTGCCGTAGCTACATCTGTCGGTAAGGAGTTCCAGGGACGGCAAACCCGCAGTGAAAAAAGGTGGGAGCGCACTTGAGTCTTAGCCCTGTGGTGATCTATTCTTCTGGGATTTCCACGAGGATGTCCATATCTACTCAATGCAGAACACATCTGTTTGGGTGATTCTGGTATTTATAGGCAGTAATTGAGTCTCCCTTACGCCAACGGTAGATAAGAGTGAAGAGACTTAATTTCTTTAGCCTTTCATCATATGGTTTATTTCGGAGATCCACCACTCCTTTTTTCGCCTATCTTTGAACTCCTTCCAAGAAGTGGGAGTCTCTTTTAAGCAGTGGGAGTGCAATCATATCATGCACTTCAAGGTGTGGTCTCACGTATGTTTTGTACAACCTCAGAAAGAGCTCAGGAGTGAGTGCACCTAACTATCTCTGTGTAAAATTTATGACCACACATGTCCTCGCTACATCCCTGTGTGATTCACACTTGTGTCCATTTTTCCGTTAGAGCTAGACCTAAGTCACGCTCTGATATTGTGCAGGACAAGCTTTCGTTGCACAGGGTGTAAATTGCATTCTACAGCCTACACGTACGCAATTTCATTTTTTTCAGGTTGAAAGTCATACCACCCAGTCTTCCAGAATTTTTTAGTCTGCCTTCAGCCTATCTAAGTCTTCTGAGAAATTTATTACTCCCCAGAGTCGGGCAGTTTAGACGGTATTGCAGGTCATTGACAAAAACCAGAAACATCAGTGGTCGTAGGATAGAACCCTGCTACACTCCTGATGACGAATCGTGCCAGGATAATCGGACTTGATTGACCTTAGTGCGAAATTTCTTTTCAGCTGGGTAGCCCTTCAACCATGACAAAAGCAGCTTACCTATACTTACCTAACTTATTTTATGTAGGAGAAGGTCATGGTGAACTGTGTCAAATGCCTTCGCAAAGTCTAAGACCACATGGACTGGGACATTCATATCCCAGCATGATGTCCAATCGTCCCAAGCTGATAATAGGTTTGTTACACAGGATCTGACTTTCCTGAAACCGTGTTGGGCTTCATGGAATCTATTAGTCCTATCAAGGTGCTCCTTGATGTGACCATCACTAATACTTTCACTACTTTTGATGCCACTAGGAGTAGAACTACTGGTCTATAACTAGTGGTATTTTTCCTATTTGCAGCCTTGAAAATCGGAGAAAGGATGGCTCTTTTCCACTCCCTTGGCAGTTTATCCGAAACCATCGAGTGTTGGAACAAGTCGCATAAGGGCCTACATAGAGTTTCGACACACTACTTCGGAACAGATGACCTGATTTCGTCACAACATGGGGACTTTTCAGATATGAGTCTCTGTAGCTTCCCTAGTACGAATGCCAGGTTTATCTGGCGACTAGCCATTAGGTTTTCCTTTGGTGAAATAGTAGTACCGCCATTTTGGTTTGTACCAGTAATACTCACACTCATGTTTAACTGTTTGTCAAGGGCTGAAGTGAATGTTTCAGCCATCTCCAAACTAGTGAGGTATTGACCGTTTGGACCTATTAAGGCGCATGCCCTTGGTTGGTAGATTTTTGCTCCGGCATGAATCAGTACAGGCTTTTGGGGTTCACTAGGGGACTTTTGGCAAGGACACCCTGAAATAACCTCCTGTCACTGCTGACTCTCACGTTGCACCGATTCCTAAGTTCCAGGTATGCAACGTGGTCAGTCTGAATCTTGGATGCTCGCCGCATAAGGCCAAGCCTTCCACTTTGCTTGCAGAATACTTTGCGTACCTCTCTTTAGACATAAGGATCTTTTTCGTGACCGTGTTGTAATTAAAGGGACGGTATCCGAGACTGCTGTGTGAATAATCTCTTCTACCACTTACTACCACACTTAACCCATCAGTATATTATTCCGGTTACTGACACATTATTTTGACTTTGGGCTCTGTCGTGCGATAATACAAACGTACGTATGTTTAAATTAAACTGCAGGTTATACTGTTTGTTATTCTGAATTGCCATTATTATTCTTGTAAGTTCAGACTTTGTGTTTTATTAAATGGATATGTCTTTAATACTTTCGAGAATTTGTAGTCCATGAACTAGGCACTGAAAATACTTTTTTTCTCACTGAAGAATATACTTGGATAGGTATCCATCCTGGTAACTTGGTATATGTTGGTTTGTCTCATCTGATTGTTTTGAATTTTAGGTTTTTCAGACTTTGAATTTCAGGAAAGTGGAGCAGGACTTAGTATGCATCCAGTTGATAACGATAGGGCTATTTGTAAACTTCGTTGGGATAAACATGCGATTATGGGATATCGTGTTGCATTTCTCAACTTCTTACATACCCATTCTCTGAGTGAGTATTAATCTAAAACCACCACAGTCCACTAGTAAGTTTTGTCTTATGCAAGCAATCCCACTCTTCAGGCAGACGGTACATCTAAAACCGTCAGACATTTATCAGCAGCTGTTTTCACTCCATACAGAAGGTCAGGTGGCCGGATACGATTAGCAACAAAAAAATCTGGCTACTAACCAACCAAGACTTTATTTAGATGTTCGTATGGTTGCCAGCATTTTCAAGTTTTAATATGTTTTCAAATTTATTCTGTTTACTAATCTGAGACAGACAGCAGAAAGACCTGCGCCATATATACATATAATATATATATATATAATATTCTTATGTAAAATTATGTTTCTACCCAGTTAATTAAAGTTTATTTTAGAACTGTGTCAATATCTTGAATTACAATTTAGTGTCGGGCTATCTGAGGGATTGCTTTTCTGAAGAGTTCTTACAGCCAGAAGCAGCCCTTAGAATCACTTTCAGTAATATGCAAACTAAATGTCTACTACTCAAAATATGATATTGTACTGAGAGACCTATTTGAATATAGTCAAGTTTGCATCCTGATGCGTGTTGCTGAGCAGCATTCTCGTTGTATCAACAACCGGTCACATCCTCGTTCATGTACTTTAGAATGTCGACAACGCGATAAAGATCTGGAGGAGGTAAGTATATAAAATTTGGCGTTTAGAAGAGGTTTTTAAGTAAGTAGTTCGAATATATATATAAACATATATAAACTGTTTTGTGAACAGCCTAGCAAACTCAATGTATCTGTGAACCAATTCAGAAGGTTTTATCTGTTTACATCATCATAATGATTTGATGATAATGTGAGACACTTACAGGTTTAATATTCAGTACTAATATGTGCAGTTAGTACTTCAATGCAGTGTCAAAGCTTTCTTCGGTTATCAAAAGCACAACGTGTATGTTAAATGATGATGGATCACTACCTGATGCATTCAAATCTTGATATGCTTCTTATTAATTTTACTACACTTTAAACTCTTCTTCAGCATCTTTTCTAAGCACTTTTATCATAATTTAATAGGTACTTACAATTCGGATCGCAAAGTTACTTCTACCACTAAGGACCTTTAAACACAAGGTAACGTCTGAAACATTATGAGTATACAAAGAAAACACATTGCTTCATTTTGTGTCAATAAGTGAACTGATTTGCGAGTGTGGCGTGTTCTACTGGTAGGATTTATCAGTAGTATATAAGGAGATGTTCATCAGCATACAAACATCAAATAGCAGGGAGAAAGATTTGTTGCCAGAGAAAGCAAATGATACAGCGTTGCGGAGATACATGGGAGAAGTGAAAGTAACACAAAGAAAAACAATATGACGGAGAGAATTGGCACAACACGAAAGATCTGTGCAAGTGGTGATTTGAAGATACGGTGTACTTAATTTCTCTATATAGAGATACCAAATTACAAATCGATATTCCTTTACCCCGTCTCTTGTCTTCTACAGTTAAATGATGAGCATATTTTAATCAAAATAAAAGCCAAGTGCCATATTACACGGAACGCGTCTGTCTCAAATATTTCGTAAAAACATCCATTCACTGTTGACAGCTGATTAACTTGTGTTTTATTTTTTATTAACTTAATAATTTAAGAAACTGTGCGTATAATTTTCAGCTTTAACTTTACTTGTTCTTCAATGGCGTTCTAATTCCCTTAGCAATATTTTTATCTCATAATAATTTATACTACTGCAATATATGCGGGCTAAGTATTCCCATTAGTGGAAAATACGTTTAGAAAGAAACTAAATTTTAAAGAGGGTATTTAACTACAAAACTCTTAATGCTGAAAGGCTGACTAAAATCACTGGGGAAAGAAGACCATAACTTTCCACCACTGCTTACGCCTGTTCTAACAGGGGATAATCGGTCCACCAATTTTTTAAATATGCTTCTTTGAAACCACAAAAACTGAATTTCAGCTGTTACTCGAGAAATGCCTACAATTTAGAAATAATTTTTCTTTACACTTATTTTAAACTCCTAAGGCTCGTTCGCGTGCTACTCAGCTAGAGAAAACGATGAGATGGTGGTCTGATTGCACTGCTAGTTGGAGAGAAAAATGGGCTACTCTGAGAGATGAAAGAAATTATCTGCGTGAAAAGTTAAATTCAACACAAAAAGCTCTGGAAAGTGCAACAGAAACAATTGAATTTCTAAAATCAGAAAAACAAGAATTACTGAATGACTTCCGAAAAGCTTCGAATAGTCATCACAATTCCACTTCAACTATTTTGCCCCTAAATCCTGTCTTTCATACAGTACAAGATTCAAGCCAATCAAGAAAAGCAGATATAAATACAAATCAAGGTTTGCCCTCTCTCACTTGGTTTTTATGCATTTAAATTAGTTAGTTAAATTAGTGCTAACTTAAGTCACCCAATTATATAGCATATTGCTCTTATGAAGTGGTGCCACCTGCACTTTCAGAACGTAATGTATGCTGAAGGTGTACTTTTCATATCTTGTAATACATAGTATTTTCGGATTAATCATGAGGAAGCACCCAGTACAAATTCAAGAAGGGAGAAAGCTTTTCAATGTATACCAAAGCGTGGTGGGTGATGGGATTACCATATCTTGCTGACTGGATACAAGGATAAGTGCTGCATGTAGAATGTTAAAGGTTGATTGACCAGGGAATTTCGCTTATGAGTACTTATCGGTACAACCTTGAGGATAGTCCTGTTTTCTTGAAGTTTGAAATTCGTCTTGGTTAGTAACAAAATCACAGATTTTACTACTAATTCCAAACAGTTCACAACTGTAGAGCTGGACATTTAATAATCTATGGTTACTCAGGTTTGTAGAAATTCAGTCAATCCATTCCTTCTTTTGAAACAAAGAAAGTTTGAAATTAGCACAATATTATCAGTACATTATTTTGAACCAGTAGCATATTTCTACAGCACCTTATCATTTCACAGATAACGCATTAACACAGCGTCGCACTACAATGTTTAACTTTAAATTTTCGTTTCTAATACCACTGAGAAAAATAAAACCACAGTAATTCAGATATAAGATTAACGTGGCTTAGGCGTAAACCTCTAATGTAGAACTAATACAAAGGAGAATGATTCATTGTTTTTATAATTACCCTACCCAAATATGTATTCATTAAGCTGTACACAATTTACAAATTATATTCAAATGACATTGTCAACCTTCCTAATGATATGATATACATTTTCTGAGTTTCCTTAATCGTGTATGTTTTTATTCCACTTTCTGTTGTTGTTGTTGTTGTTTCGACCATTTAAGGTACTGAAAAGTTGAATGAATCATCAGAGTGTGTTGACAGAGCAATTGAGTTTCCCAATAGCAATCAAGTAAGTATCAGAAGTGTTAAAAGATTTTTATTCAACCAACTTAATAGGATTCTATAGAACCCAGTGCAGTGTCTCAGTGACATCTACTGTGGTCACATCAATGTACATTTAACTAAGACGTTCAGAGTATTCCTATTTACCCCGTTAGCCCTATTATTGTTCACAGAGAAGAACACATAAGTACTTCATACATGTATTTGAAAAGCTGCATCACACTTTCAGAATGATTCAAATAATAATAACAATGAATTAAGTTCAGACAAGTCATAGCGATTAGAAGAAACTGGTCACTGGTTAGATTCTGAGTTGTGCATTTAGTAAAGTAATCACATTGTCCTTTGAATATATCTGGTCTCTGTTTTACTGCGATACATTTCCGCTGAGCCTACATGCTGACTAATCATGTTATCATTCAAATAATGAATTTGTCGACTCTTAAGTTTGCAGGAATTTCAAAGGCTTCAAGGCAATTTGGTCATCAACAGTTCAGTCAGTATGTAGGAATCAGGTAAACTGATAGGATTTTTAAGAATTCTAAGCCGCTCCTAGCCCTAATTTAGTATCAGAATTGTTCGATATTTTAAGGTTTGAATAGAGATAGTAGACTCTGACCAGAACAAAACTAATATTTGATTCACTTTTTCTTTCCCTGCAATTTTAGTCATCGAAAAGGCAATTACTAGAACTGGCATCAACAATTCGCTGGTGGAAGTGCCAGTGTATGGCACTTGAACAGGAGGTAAATGAACTCAGCTCTTTTTAAAGTTTTAAAGTGGTGTATTTCTTGACATTCGTGCTTTCATTTGCATTTCGATTTTCGCTTCAGTTTATCCCTCATCTTACAATACTGCAAGGGTATCTTAATTCACACGTAACCTTCGTTATGCATTTCTTTACAAATTCGGCAAATGTCGCTAAAAAATATCTTACGTTTTAAAATTTGTACTTAGCTAACATGTAGTTTGTCACTGCTGCAAAGCATGCTTAATTGGTTTAACAGTGATGCGAAGAATAGCATTCATACGTGATTAGTAATGCATCATCAATGTTCACCTACGAAACTTTCAGATAGGAGATTATAAAAAATTACATCTATTAAATAGAAGTTCGTTTAGACAGATAACTTAAGTTGTAAGTTTAAGATGACTGGAAAAGAGTTCTGCTTGACCTAATTTCCGTGTTTGGTAACACTTACTAGCAAGTCGTACTTAAATATTAAAGCGATTCATCGTCTCCTTCTTAATGATTTAAACTTCAGTCAGTGTTAGTCGACTGGAAGTAATTATGTGTTTTGTGTCTATTGGTCAACAAGGTGTATCTGCAATATGGAAAGAAAAGAGGTTTAAACTTTTCTCACCTATTGCTACTTTAAGTCAGTCTCCAACCAGTATCCCGTCACCTAGCTTAGTGACCATACTGGACACCTGGTTAACATATTCCAGTTAACTTAATAGGGACTACTTATCTACGTTAGTTACCACGTGAAGATCACTTTGTGTAGTCAAAAGTATGTTATTCATAGTCTTACTTTATACATGATTAATTAATTAGTATATTATTCATTGACGAATGCATTTTTACTAATAGTTTACTTTCACTGGAGTGGGTTCACTAAAGACACTTTGAAAAGTCTGAAGCTTAGATTAGAGTATATCTAATATTTTTGCTGCCTTCTGACAGTTGCTTTAGTTTGCTTAGTTAGAATTCTGTTTTTTAGATGAATTGCTTGTGACAGTTATAGTCAGTTTACGTTTAAATGGTAGATTAATTTTTCGTGCTCCTCATACTTTATTGCACTCCAGTGGTTTCTTCTTAGAGGTCTCTATTTGGATTGGCTTAGTGTTCTATGTTACAGTTAATAGGTACGATTTTCACTGATTTGCTGTGTTTAAATGGTGGATTCGAGAGCTTTACTGTGTTTTGAGGCCTTTCTTCATCTCTGTTGTTTGGCACTTCAGTATGTTTGTGAAAATCTTCTGTGATCTACAGCTGGAATTCGACTTCGTCAAGAGAATAATTGGAGATAAGAGTTCATGTTGTTCTCTATGTCCTAGTTATTTTACAGGCAGTATTCGAATCAACCCATCTTATGGTCACCTATTCACTTGAATACTGTGCTTTCTGGATTAGCCTATAGTTTTTTTTAGGTGGATTGTTCTGTGATATTTAGATTGTTTTTCAGTACAACTTGAAACCATGTTTTGTTTATAGAGGTGATTCGTCCAATACTTTTTCCAGTTTGCCTACCTCAATTATCATCATATTCCTTGTAGTTGGTTTCCTATTTCTTCTTTGATTATTGGAGTGCACAGAATACTTTAAAGGCGTTTGTATACAACTTCTACCCTGTGTATTCAAAATATTTTTTCCATATATGAAAAGATTATTATTTTGTTTATTATACTGATTGTTAATCTGATGAAAATTTGTTGTTCATAAACGACTATGCTAGTAGCTGTATCCAGGTGTATTCTGATTTACCTTTTTCAATGCTGTCTTAGCAGTAGTTAAGCACTTTTAGAGAAACTAATCTAAACACAAGTTTTCAACTGAGAAGAAACTTTCTAACTGTGTCTGTAAAACTGTTTCAGTCACTTTTTATTGTTAATTCATCCGTCTAACCTAGCATTGTTTGATCCGCACTGAGGGTAAATCATTTCCATCAACACCTTTTCATATTTGTGCCAAATTTAAAAACAAACCACAGCTGAAACCTCCTTTAATCTCACTAATTTTTTCGCATTATGTTTTATTCTGTTATCCTATTCAACTGACCAATCAGAAAAATATGTGAATATAAGTTGTCAGTGGCTACAAATAAATAATAATTGAGGGGCACCTGTATTTGCAGACCATTTTCACAATTCACTAAAAGTCATTACTCAATCTGAAGCAGTCATAAACGGTCAGCAACTACCCAGTCAATATGCTCCTGAACCTACTGATTATTTTCACATATTAACTTCTTAAAACAGAACATGCACAGTTGGTGAGTTACAGTTCAGTTAGACAGAACACGTTTTTAATGTGTCAGGTTGTGAGCTATATATAGTATGCCAGTACTGATGATAATGCTCAGTTGCTAAATGCCAAATAGGTAGGGTGGAGCTCGAAGCCACGACTCATTGGTTGAAAGTCAAGTGTTTAACTCAGTGAACAACATGTAAAGCATATCTAACTAGCATCGCTCATTAAAACCGTTTATCGAAGAAAAGAGACTGAATTCAAATCATTTTAGTTTTTAGTTCGATATTTTCACATTCGCTAAAAAATACTTCCACCTGCAGATGAAATCACATCAAACATACGCGAATTGACCCATATCTGTGTGTCAACACGGTTGTATGCACCTTATGTCGAAACGGCAGTCATCCAACTTACATTATAATTGCTTTATTTAATTTGAACAGTTTCCACCGTGCTACTAGTAGTTGACAGAAAAAACCAACAAATCTTTTCTGCTACCATAAAAAGGATAATGTTGTGTATGTAGTCAAGTGACATTGTTACAAATTGAAGGATTTTTAAAAATTAATCAATACTCTGGGTATATAATGAGGAATTTACGTTTATATTTAGCAAATTAGGGGTAAAAACATAACAAGACTGATATATAAAGAGACATACTTATATGCGTCTGTACACTTCGCTTCTTACATACAGACGAATATTCCAACAAGAAGTATAAATAGTATACATAAATTACGAAGAAAGGCAAAGAAGAAGAAAGATAATTACTGAAGTTAGTAAAAGGCATCTTGTTAAATTTTCTTTTTCTTTTAATGAAAACAGAAAACATCTCTCATCGCCTTTTTTCTTCAAGTAGTAATACATACTGAACTGACTGAAGGTTTGAAACACAAAAATGTTGACCGTGTGTATGGGCATAATTTGCAAAACATTAGTTAATACTGCTAAGCAGAAAAGATAAGAAATACAGTAAGTCATTTTTCCTTTCATATGGGCATGCAGAAATGCATAGATATCACTACTTGAGAAAATACAAGATGAATAGTCGATTTAACGAAGGACAGTATTTAAATAATGTCAATAAATGTTGCAGATTTAGTGACATCAGTATATATATATATATATATATATATACAAGATCCGGATTTTCATCTCCAATGTGAAGTCAGTGCCACTATACGGGACACAGACTTGACGTGTCACCTAGGGCACTTCAAACAAACTACAGACCTTCATCAACAGCTGTCTTCACTCTGTACTGAAGATCAGATGGCGAGAAAAGATCAGCAACAGGGATCTCTGGGAGATCATGCGAAGAGGAGATGAAAGCATGTGGGCAGATGTGGAGCCAGAGAAACGGACGCAATGGAGATGTGCTGCTGGAGCGCTATATTCCTCTAGGAACTAAAGGAAACAATAATAGTATTGTGTATAAGGTTGATTCTTCCTCTGCCTTGGTTGCTGAAGCTGGTGTTCCTCAGAGTGCCTTTATCTCTCCTTTTCTTTTTTCTTTCTTCTTACATGACCTACCTCTTTCTATTGAAATAAACTTTGTCAAATACGTTGATGATCTGACCGTCTCACTTCCTGTCAGGTCCAAGTCAGACTGTCGCAAACTTAATAGCTTTTTGTCGAACATCAGCCAGTAGTCTAAGCCAAATGGTCTTATGTTAAATCCTTCAAAATTCCAGACTACTGACATCTCCCTTAGATATAAACGCGATATACATCGACTGGTTAGTACACATGATGCTTGTGGCATAGAGGGGGCTGTGATAGAAACTAAGTCTAACACAAAATACCTTGGAATAGCTCTGTCTTCCAACCATACTTAGTCATCCCATATTTTATCAATCTTCAAGAAAATGTTCCGTCTAAACTACTACATTAAGAGGGTAAGACAATCTGGAATCACTCAACCTCTACTTTTACAATTTGGTTACACTTGTATCTTACCTATTGTACTTTACTTCTCCCCACCCTTAGTCTTTCTTGGTCTACTGTGTCATTTTGAGGAGGGTATTCAAGATTTTCAGTCTGGGAAGTGGTATGCAACTTAGTCAGCTTGTTACAACATTAGCTGACAGACATCTGAACTCATGCGAGAAACTGTCTAAATCCATATTTTTTGACCCTCAACACCCCTGGGTTCCCAACTCTCCCCTTGTATCTCATCTGGTAGAACTAGAAGTCAGTACAGAAGATTATATACCCGTACTACCAAGTATAGGAACTCAATGATTCCATATTTGGCCCGTGTTCCATGCGACAGAGACAATGTTAAGCGCAAAAACTATGAATTACTATGTTGCTAGCAAAATAATTGTTTCTTTTATAATCTCCTATTTGCAATCCATGGTGACATTATCTCAATTAACTGACAATCTTAGATGCTAACCTTATTATTATTTACAATTTTTTTGGTATATATATGTATGAGTTCACTGTCACTACAATTACCAAATAAGAACTACTATTAACAATCCTGTAATATTATCTTTAAAATTGTTTTTAATGCTATTCGATAAAATTAGATGCAATATGGTGAAAATTCCACACTGTGGCTTTAATACTGTTCTGGAATAAATTATTATTTATTAGATGTTAAAAAATAAACAGATATCTAAATTTATCCAGTGGCCGATGCCAATGTTTTCACCCTTCCCGAACAGTTGTGTATCCACTTGAAACTGATTTTTGAAGTGAACGTTTGTGGTTCTTGGGTACGAAAAGCATAAATAAAGCTTTCTTTTTTATTCATTTAGTTCATTTTTTTTTCATAAAATACGACCGTTAGATTGTAATAGTTGATATTATTTACTTACCTACCAGTGAGCGGATGTTCGATAACATAAATTCTGCGGTTTTAGAGGCAAATAGTCTGTGTAACTTAAACCAACCAAGAGGAGATGACTGCATTACACAAATTACATTCACCATAGTAATCACTTAAGAATAAAATCCTCTACAGTGCTGATGGATCTTTTTTAAGAAAATAAGATTAAGTAAATCATTAGGAAACAATCTAATGATAGCGAAGAAGAAATGGTGATTCGATAGAATGTAGTATGGAGTTGGTAATTTCTCAGAGCATGACAAAAGCAGAGAAGTAGCCAGTCGACAACATACTTAATCTAGTTAGTGCACTACGGACTTCACAAAACTATGACTTTCAGGTGAGACTATGCTTCTCTCCATCAAATATACTATTTGCATAGCAGTGCTATCCCATGTGCTTGTATCACCATTAACCATTAAAGCCAACAGAAAAATATACAATGGTGACAGAAAAAGACAAATCCTTATACCATATATTATTTTTGTCTTTTACAGATTCGTCATCTTTTTGATTCAAATACTAAAAACTGGTCAAAATGCGAAGTATTATCCCATGAAAATTATTTACTCAAACAAGAAAATGATCTTCTCAAGAAAGAGATAGCTAGTCTCTGGAGTATACGAGACAATGTAAACGACACTCATGCTGACAGAATCTCCAGTATAAATGACCTTGAATCACGAGGTAAGCAAAGAAGTGACCATTTTTACTCACCAAGCTAGCAGCAATTTAGTTAGAACTGTCTCGTTTACTTAAAAAATTAGTTCTTCCCAAATTATATAAATCACCCTGCCATACGAATGTTAGTTGATGTTCTTTTGGCAAGTGACTGACTGTAAATTCACTAGTTTTTATACTGCTAATCGCTTAACTGACTTGTTCTCCAAGTGATAAAACCTTATGAGGTACTGCACAGTAATAGTAATATTGCGTCTGAATATGTGCTGATATCAAACGAGTGGATGATCAGTGTCGATTATTAAAAAAAAAAATATGACTGAAACGCCTAACCATTTTAAGTCTGGTTGAATAAACTGAACTCTGGCATTTTTGTACAAGTTAAAAATTAGTCACTCATATGACAAGTTTTTCCTCCACTTAATTATGAAAATCAGGGGAATAATAGTTATAAGAGAAAAATATATTGCAAACAAATCGCTATCCAATGACAATTGTATATATATATGATTTTAATATATTGATAAATTCACTACGATCAATCACTAGCCCTTTTAGCGAATCAACAGTCCATAGTATGTTGATACAGACGTCCAGTGGAGTTGTATGTAAGCGTGTAGGTATGTCTATCCATATGGAAGTTTGTTCGTGTGTCTATGTACATTTGTGTGTAAGTACATTATCTAATACCTACTAAATATATTCAAAATGTAATAGGCATAAAACTGTGTTTGTACTTAACCTATTCACAAAACTTTTTTTATTACTATTTTTTTCCAAAAAGTAAGGATTATAGTCTATCTATTGGATTATTTCCCTTTTAAAATTATTTGTAAAATAATTATAATTTCCTCATTTCTATCCTTGACATTATACTAAGACTGGTGCACTGTGTTTTTATCGATCCTAATTACATTTAGCTAGCGTGTTGCTTCAATGATATTTAGTATACAAAATTTATAGTACACATCTGTCTGTACCACTACGAACTTCCACTGTTTCTCCTTTTTCTTTCATCTCATCCTGTTTATCATAGGTTAAATGTGTGTGTGTGTCTCTTGTACTTTATCTAAGGATTTTTCTCATGAATACTTCGAAGTAATTTAGCACATCTCAGGAAAGGAAAGGTTGAATATACTTCCCAAAAAGAAGACAGTTGAATTCATTCCAACATAGAGGGTGTAAGATCAAGAAAAGTTTTGCAATGCTGTATAGCAGTTTGATTGCAATTATGTGGAGATAATCTACATATGGTGGGGCTGAAGAACTCCAAACCTGATGCCTTTTGAATGTAGCAGTAATCAAACACTTCGTAACAAGATACACTATATTACTTGATGATTACGATCAATTCTGTAGATTCATACATACAGTGTCTTTCTCGCTGCATGTATAATTTTGAATTGAACATGAATTAAAATTAGAGGTATAACTGGTATTATAGTATTCAGTACTGTTTAGTATATTTTGATAAACAGTCAGTTGACTGGGTATTCGCACTGCTAACTAAATAGACCGAAATAAGATTACAGTCAGAAATAAATGACATGACAGTGAATACTATATTGTAACAGGTCAATGGACTGATAGTTTTGAACATATATCTTATTGAAATAATAATTCATCATTTTCATACCTTTTTAAACACATAAGGACATTTCATGACACTTATCTGAGATCGATTATCAGGTTCACTGGACTGGTTGCTGACGAAATCTTTGAGCAGATACAAAAAGCTGGTCAGAGATATGCCAACATACGTCGTCCTTTAAGCTTGTGATATCTGTCAAATGGATGAGATAATAGTGCAGTAATCTGCATTTTTATTTTTTTTAACTTAATTTTATTATAGCTTGACTCCACACAGTATTTTTGATACAAGTATGAAATTTTCAGCATGTGATATCGGTAGCCCAAATTATGCAGGCCAACCATTGATATTGGGTGTGCGTCGGCCGGGGATCGAGCCCCGGACCATGTGCATGGTCGACGAGCGTCCTAACCGCTGTGCCACCCTCTGAAAGTAGAAGAAATGAATATATCACAGGTTTAAAGCATGCGTATTTTCTCAGAATTATTTGTGAACGATGCATTCATAAGACTTAAGTGTGAAACATTCTCATATAATTAACTAAAAATCTGTCTAAAGGAAGAATATTCTTTTCAGTAGATTCTCTTCAGGTTCTTATATTGATATAATATAATCATCATCACTATAATAATATCCAGTTTTGCGTCGGATACATTTTTACGTAGAATAAAATTATTTATAGAGTGACAGAATTACTGGCGTTTGTGTGACAAACGTACTGGGCTTAATTCAATTACAAAATATTGCGAAATGTGGGATGATACACTGGATACAGAACGCCGCCACTCCGCCTGAACAAGCTGGATTCAGGAAAGGCAAATCATGTTCTGACCCAATTGCTACTCTACGCATCGTCATCACAGAAGAAAGCATAGAATGGCAGTCAAATGCCCCTACTTCAACTTCATCGACTTCGAAAAGGCCTTCACCAGACAGCGTTGAAGTAATTTGGAAACTACTTCAACACTACGGCGTGCTTTGCTCAAATATTTCTCAACCTCATCCAACAGCTGGCTATATGACAATGCTACATGTCAAGTGACTCACAACGGAAAACTCAGTGAGGTGTTCGAAGTGAATGCAGGAGTAAGACAAGTCTGCCTGCGTATCATCACCCACGATGGTATTCTTCATTATGCGTCAGAATGTGTGTGCTTGGGAGCGAGGAGACAGGAATGCACTGGATCACCGATAAGAAGACTCTAGAATAAGATCTGGATTTCGCGTGTGGATGGTCTATGTCTAATGTCACACAAACTCGAAGACTCACGGGCAGGCAAAAACCAACAAACTGGCAGCAGTGAAAACAGAACTCCAGGTGAACAGAGACAAGACAGAGGTGATGAAGATAACCAGCCAACCACAACAGGTACAACAGCAACCAGCACCAATCACCATCAACGCGACAGATTTAACAGAAGTTACTTTCTGAATTCATTTATCTACGAAGCATCGTTCCAACCACAGGATAACGGAACGGATGAAAATGTCAAAGCTAGCCAGCCAGCCAGAATCGGTAAGGGAAGATACTCACGCCTCTATCAACCTGAAACCAGTTTGGAAATCTTCTGCATTGCACTCCGTCTCAGCATGAAGAACAAGATTCAGATTTTCAACACAAATGTGAAGTCATTCGGTCCTTCTATGTGGTTCAGAAACTTGCACTGCATGTCACGAAAAGTATTCCCAACAGCCTGCTGCAGACTTTTATCAATAGCTGCCTCCTTCGCTGGCTGACTTTATACTGAAGATGCAATGGCCAGCCGGCCATAAATAATTATCAACAAGAAACTCTGGCTGAGAACAAACCAACCAAGAACCGATCGCTCAACAAATATGTAGTAGAAAATGGAGATGGATCAGGCATACGTTGAGGAGACTGTCAAATGAGTCAGACCAGTGCTGAAGTGGAATCCGAATTGGAAGCGCCGAGTGGGTCGTGACTTCGAGAGTGACGTGGATGAGGTCGTGCGAAGAGGAGATGAGAGATTGTGGGGAATCGTGGTGCCATCTGGCGAGGACGGCAGAAAATAGGAGAGACTGGAGATGTGTTGTTGAATCCCCATATTCTATTCGGAACCCAAGGGGACAATAATAATACTGAAGGATAGAAACAGATGCTCCGAATCAAAAGTCTTCTTTATCGCTTTGGCTAGACTTAGGAATAGAATCTCCGTTGATCTGCAGACTCAAAAATAATGACTTTTTCCCTACCACTGTCAGTTAATTCTTGTAACTATTGTAACCTATACTGCTTTTGTAAACTTCTCAGGATATCTGTTTTCGCCTAGAATATCGCTGATGACATAGATTTCTTTCTCTGTACATCTTTCAGTGCAATGTGAACTCGTTTTAAATGCTAAGCATCTGATCATATTACGTTTGCGAGTGATTTGTACAAAGCTGGAGAAGTATGTATTCAGCCATGGTCTGTAGCTTCTTTTAATGGGTCCATCTTCTTTTTTTGTCAGTGTGATGTCAAGAAAGTGCAAACAGTCATTGTATTCTCCTTTGTATGTTACATGGGCAGCTGGAGTGGGCACTATTGAAGTGGCTCATAATCAAATCACTGAGCAGACCTTCATCGTACACTAAAAAATTGTCATCTATGTAACCATAGTACAGTTCCATTTTTTCTATTTCATCTTTCAACAGACCATTTCCTATTTTCGCTAGAAATATGTTAGCAAATTTAAGACTTAGTGGAAATCCCATGGCTACTCTATCAACCAGTCTGTATATTTCGTTGTTAAACAGGAAATGAACATCCGTTGTACACTTAAGCAGTAATTGGTGCGGTTTAATAATAGGAATATCAGTGCACAACTTACTTTCTATAATCTATCCGCATATATAGTCTATGATTTCCACCTGAGGTTCATCAGTGAATAAAAATGAAGCAACAAAGGATGTTGAACGTTTGTCAGCTATGTTCAACTTTTTTATTTTACACTGAAAGGTGTCTTTAATGCTCTGCTTCACTCGTGGATCACGTAGGGGTTTAAGTCACTGCACCAACCACGTTTCAGTTTCGCAATAAGGTGACTGAGAAATATCCAGTATGCGACAGAGTGGTACTGCTGATTTAAGCACTTTCGGTAGACCGTATATACGTGAAGTTGTTGGTAAAATAAACCGTTTTTATCGTAGTTCATTTAAGAAGTTAGTTTTGTCTTAGAATGTTAATTAAGGTGCTTAAAAAAGGTGGGCCAAATGAAAAGGTTGTGAATCCTCATTAACTGAGTTGCCTAGGATCTGTGCTACTCCTGTGAAACCACAATGTTAGCTGAGGTGGAATTAAGCTAGTATAGTTAGGTGTGGCCAGAACAAAATATAACAGCGAACTATGCAGTCACTGATTATTTATCCTAACCGTGTAAAGAGATGTAAGTTGTCTGCTTTACATTCTTCGGTT